CGCAGTTTAGTGGCACGATAATCTTGGTCAAAAGCAAGAATAGCCCGAGTCTGAAAACGGGTGCCTTTCACAGCAAGGAATTTCAGATACCCCAGATATCGCTGAGCCTCACTGGGACTTGACGAAAGCAACGTTTCTAAGATCTTAATGTTAGCCAACATAAACTGGGGGAATGTAAGTTGTAAAGGCTTCAATTGCTTCCCGTCCGAGCCATATATAAGTTCACAAGGACGCAACTGCTTACCTAGGCCTCCGGCTGCAGCTTTCTCAGAGGCAGACGAAGCGACCTTAGTGACTTCGGCCTCGTGCGTAACTTTGTCGGCACCAGCGCCAAAAACGGCCTGAATGGTCGCGAGTTCCTGTGCCATGTTAAGAGGCACGGTTGTCGGGACGGGTTTGTCCTGCTCTAACGTAGTGTTCCCAGAAACGGCAGCAGGTTTGTCGGAGGCTAGAGCCGCTATTGCACGGCGAAGCAGCACTCTGTGGCCTACGGAGGCAGGCATAGTGAAAGGTGAAAAAACAAAAAAACAAAAAAAAACTGAATACTAAATAACTAAGCTAGAACGCTGTCTGAATAGGACTGATGAGTAGACTGTTCACAGTCCTCTATTTTTCCGTGAGATCGTAGATGTCGATCGTTGAGTTCGATGGGCCGCCATCTTGTTCTCTTGATGCGAGCGAAACTGGGGAGAGTACAAAATGCCCGTGGGTAGTGGCGGTGGGGTTAATAGCGTGGGGGTGACGGGGGTCAAATCCAATACCATACATTATTGTTTTGATTCAAGGAAATTCGAAATTACGACTTTGGGAGTCCACAAGATGATGTTCGTGATGGAGTTTTGGGTATGACTTCTTAAGGTGGTAGGTCAAACAATCCACACGTTAAAAAAAAAAATCGTAAACTATTATACAAAGAAACAAAACACGTTTGTAGCGGTTCTCGACGGTTTCATCAAATAATACAAAGTTTTAATCTAGTACAACATTTTCCGACGAATTAGCCTCTTTAAGGCATTCAGTTAGCTGGAGCGCAGCGTGAAATAAGGGAGAGAGGCTCGCCGGCTTTTGCTTCACAAAAAGACATTACCTGGATTGGGCATTAAACATTTCATACTTTGTTATTTGGCACTGTCGACCTAAACACACTTATTTTGGTGGTTGACCCTGCACAAAATTTGGTAAAATACAAAAGGTGGTTATGTGTTCTCATACAACCAGCTAATAGAAGCATTGCGATTATGTAATTCATATATAGTCTATGAGCACAAAGGTCTAGTACCTTCCATCATAAATCTTGGCCTGTTTGACTGCATACTTACTTCTTTGATGTTTATCGGGCTTCTTAACCATTTCCCTATATTAACTATGACCTAACGATTTGAATGCGAACGTTCGTATTAAAGCTTCTAACAAAAGAATTTAGGCAATCAAAATTGAGGACGAATCACGCTACGTATCATACACCTATGATTAAGTCTTCGTGACATTACCAAAATAGCGTGATCGCGTGATAACGTGATAGAGTGATGATATGCAATCACGAAAGTCACGCCTGTCGACTACGCTTCAAATACTGTTCTGTTTACGAACCGGCTTGTCTGCCCAGAAGGTTAGACTATAACTTTGTCATAACCTCAATATTCAAAGCAGTGACAAGGCTGCCCGCAGAGACCTTAGTTCACCATTTGCCCTACCCAACAATCGCTTGATCCCGAATATCATTCTGTTCCACAAACATGGTCCGTACGGAGTACAGTGCAGTTCGTAAAACTGAGGTGCGCGGCTTTTTCGTGAGTTTATTTAACGTTTTTTTGGTGCTGTTCTTGTTGTTATCACTGGTGATTGCCTTGATTGTGGTAGCTACGGTGTTAGCTCACGAGAAGGGAAAAGCAAAGCACGCTGGAGTGATTAAAGGTGATCCCAAAGAGGGAGGTAAGCAAGATATACAGTCTATTGAATCGATTTTAGATACCGGCATTTAATTTCAACACCACTGAACTACAGTGCGTAATAGTACATGTATTAGAGGTGGCATGAGTTCTATTTAACAGCGTTTAATTGTATGTATCTGCTTAACAGAATTTGACTCGATATTGCGATATATTACAGATGTATGCTGAGTTTCGAATGTGTTGATTTGTATTCAATGCCGGTTAATCTCAAAATGGCGAAGGGTCCATCACAGGAAATGCGTCTCCCAGAATGTTAGTCGAATTTCAGAAATGCCGTCTCGACTTCCACATTCTTGATCACGCAAACATAAATTATTTGTGAGGGTCTCACTCGCCATCTGGGATAGTCTTTGATTTGTAATGCACTATAGTCTGATTGGTCTCATCGCATCTACTGAAACTGTATCAATCGTCGAAACGACCAAAGCATACATGTATTCTTTTGCGTAAAAGCTCAACGGGGGAATATTTGAAAGCTATAAATACAAAAGACGGCTTTCATCTAGGAAAAGAACTGAAAAGACGGATATCTGTTAATATTGTGCATCAATTCGTCGTGTTGGCCCTTAGATGCCTATTGCACTGCATGGAATCCAAAAGCCGCTCCACGCCTTCCATGTGACGAACCTAACCTGACGAAGTTTCGTATACCGATTCGTCGTGTTGCCCGGGCACCGTACTGGGTCAATATCGCCCTATGTCTTTCCTTTACAAAGAAATCGCTTCGCGTCGGTCCATACCAAAAATACATCGGGCGATACGAGTTCCTACCTGTGTGAGTATGGGCTCTCTTGCATTGCCTGCTGTGCCTCGCAAAAATTGTGTATCACACAGGTAACTTCTAGTGTTGTTGTTGTTGTTAAACTTGTTCTGTAAAGATGGCCTCAAATCCTGACTATAACCCATATTGTGCTCTTCAACTTTTTATTTGCGTTTTCGTTTGTTTGTTTGTTTTTTTAAAGAGTCCTCTTTGCGTCCCATGTCCTGTGACGTTGTTGCGGTCGGAGGAGGTATTTCAGGAATGTACATGGCAGAGACACTCATGCGAATGAAGAAAGAAGACAACGTGTGTTTGTTTGAAAAAGATTCCAGATTTGGAGGACGAGACTATGACTTTAGGTTTAGCGAAGCACCAAACATCAGCATAAGTAAGTTAGTAAGTTAGTTTGTTGTCACTCAGAAACACGAAATGCTCGCTTTTCCTGTTTTCGGCGGTCACGTTGTCTTCGGGGTTAGACATATCAGCCTTCGTGAGAAACTGAAATTTCTAAGGAAGCTTAAAACAACGCTCCTTTAAAAAGGATATCAGCTTTCTTGGCTATGCCTAGCATTCGAAAACTGCGAGTAGAAGTCGAAAACTTGGCAACCTTTGTTTTTGTTTGCTTTGCAGCTATTTAAAAGCTGTTATGGCAATGAATCTGTGTTCAAATAATTTTTTGTTTATTAAGCCATACAAATCCCTTAAAACTACCAAGTAAACCACGGACAGCATTTAGATAACGAATCTCAACTTTAAAATATCTCCTGTTAATAAAAAAGACAAGCTAGTAAAACTCGTTCAGTGCCGACGTCATGCACACTTGCATTCACGAATTAAAAGAAAATGTATATATTGCTAAAGGATGTGCTTAAATTTACTCTTGAAGGTTTAGGAGCCTGGCGTGTGGATAGAGAACACAAGAGAGTAATGTAAGAAATATCATTTTTTTTATGTTCATGACCAATTATCAAGAGAACTCAGATCAAGTTATCGTACCTTGATTTTCTCTTGACAAAACTAGATTCACTAGGCACTGAGGTCCCGTTCACTGTACGCCGGAGGAATTTAATCATTGGTTATTTTGGATTTATGTTCGAGGAAAGCTCGATCNAGGTATTTCAGGAATGTACATGGCAGAGACACTCATGCGAATGAAGAAAGAAGACAACGTGTGTTTGTTTGAAAAAGATTCCAGATTTGGAGGACGAGACTATGACTTCAGGTTTAGCCAAGCGCCAAACATCAGCATAAGTAAGTTTGTAACTTAGTGTGTTGTCGCTCAGAAACACGCTTTTCCTGTTTTCGGCGGTCAAATTTTCTTCTAAGGTAGACTTACCTTTCCCTTTCTAGTTAAACCCAAAGAAGCTGAAAAGTAATAAGAAGCTTCAAACAGTGCTGCTTTACAAAGGCTATCACCTTTTTTGCTCGAAAGGCCTGGTTATGACTTGCAACACGAGTCACGCAGCGCTTGTGATTTGAATCCGAAAACTATAGACAATTTTATGTTTGCTTTGCAGCCATTCACTCCATTTCATTAGCTGTTATTGCAATAAGTCTGCGTTCAAATATTTTTTTTGTTAGACGGGATCCAAATGAAGAAAAGGTTCAACACAAAGAAGGATTAACCCGCTTTTTGTCTCGTTTTAATCTCAACCCGCTAATACACTGAAAATTCAAACACCGCAGCTTAGCTTTGCTCGTTCCCATTAAACTCACACACAAAGACAATAAAATTCGTTTCGCACTGAAAAGAGCTGAAAATTTAGAAAATTATCCCCGGGTAGAAATAGTAATGGCAAAATTTTGAAATAGCTCGATATATTGTCATTAAAAAAAATTTTAAAAAAATGTGTTTCTTCGTTGCCTGTTTCAACTTATCACTCCCAGTGAATTTGTTTGCACTTTGAAGTCGCAAAAGCGAAAAGTCGATCGCAAATCCCTAACTGAAGCCTGTCAAGTCAACAATGTCACCAATTGCTAAACGATGTGCTTAAATTTACCCTCGAAGGTTTAGGAGCCTGGCGTGTGGATAGAGAACACAAGAGAGTGATGTAAGAAATATTAATTTCTATATATTTATGATCATGACCACTCAATTCTCGATCCTACAAAAATAGGTTCTCTATAGGTACTGAATATCGTGTCCTTTTATCGCTGTCCACGGGTTCTAGGGGTGTAGAACTTCGTAGTAAAAATGGCTCCAAGGGAAAAAAAAAGGTCTCATTACTCCACATCTTTTCCTCAGGGATTCAAGGAACGTAAATTTGTTTGAACTCCTAGGATAAAAAGTCTTGCGCTTTGAGCTGCAAGGCAAATTCTTCAGCCTTCCAGAGTTCCAGCTGGATCCCATTGCTCGAGATCAGATGGATGGCCCAGAGCTACCACATAGTTATAAAATTTATGGCAATTTTCTTGAGCAAATTTGATCGAGTCTGTTTTGGGGCTGCTGGAATATAATCTCGCCAATTGTCGGCGATTTCTCAGCTCAGTACCAGTTAAAATTTCAGTCCATTTGTTAGCTTTCAGTCAATTTTGCAGATCTCAAATCCCAGCTGATAGATAAAAACGTGTTATTTCTCAGCTGTCAGTCCAGTTAAACCAGAATCGGGTAACATCAGGGAACATGGATCAATTCCTTTTGATTTTTTCCAAGCTTGTGAGGAGAGTCGCTATCAAAAAAAAATTAAGGATTGTTGTTGGCGATGGGTTTACATAAATTGCAGGTTTACAGTATATATTTTATTTTCAGGACCCTAGCTAGTCGATTCAATATCCCGATGTTGAAAATGGACATAAACGATGCACATTGGGAAACAAGAGGAGTCTTTGTATCTAGTACCCAGGTCCTCAAAGAGCAAGCTTTCCCGACTCTGCTGTCAGGCCCCTTTGCGAACATGACTTTGTCCGAAATGCTGAAATATGCTTGGATGAACATTACTAGAGAGAAAACACTTGAATTTCCGTCTTTCCGAGATTTTGTGTGCCACCAACTTGGAAGTGAAGGCTGCGAGTTCTATTGGGCCATGTACGCTACAAAGCGAAATTATGGTGAAGAAAGCACTTTGTTTAGATACGAACTGAATGAAGCTTCCAGCAATTCTTCGTATGATTACTATCGGCCGCCTGGTGGCCTATCAGATATCGTCAATGCATTGGAAAGATCTGCGAAGCGTTTGGGAGTAAAGATGTACGCCAAGGAGAAAGTCAAAGCAATTTATAGGAAAGAAAACATTTTTACAGTTGATACAGATAATTTTACAGTGTCGGCCAGAAAGCTCATCATTGCCGTGCCACGCACTCCATTTGAAGAGATAGCTGGGGACTTGGCTGCAGATATTAAAAGAAATGTCTTCTTCGAAGCAATTTTTGCAAAGTCTGGCTTTAAAGCTGTAGCGGTTTACAGTTATCCTTGGTGGGAAAACATTACTTCGTTTCACAATCTGACACTGACGAAGCCGTTTGAAATATTCTTTTCTGCAGCTTCTTGTCTAGTTTCTATAATGCCTTACAGGTAAGCCATCAAAAAGGACGCATTGTCCCTATTCATTGGGGAATCTTTATTTATAATATGGTTATATGTGGTGTAATGAATGGCTCATATGCCATGATGGCTAAGCCGATGAAAACTCTTGAATTGCTTTATTCTATAACTATGGTAAGCATGCGCGTGGTTTTTTTTTGGGGGGGGGGGTGAGGTGGGGGGTGACGGCGGGGGTTATGTTTGTTTTCTTTCAGTTTTTTCTTTTATTTTGGAGGTGTTTTTAATAAAACAATTATTCCACTCGCGCTTCTTGGATATTAGATGACTACAGCCAACTTGTTGGCTCTTTATAATCCCATATCTAACGCACGCTTGTGGAATGATTGTTAAATATACCTAATTAACGAAACAAACAAACAATGTTGACAGATTCTAAAATGATCCTGGTTGTGTTGTGTAAGTAGAAAACTTCAAAATCAGCATTGATTAGCTTCTATTAGAAGTATTTTTTTTTAATGTTTTCATTTGCGTTCGCTTTTAGTGGTAGAGGACCCAAAGGCGAAGCCGTCCTTCAGCTGGCATACGCTTGGAGAGCATGCGCAGTCAAGTGGGGCGAGCTTTCCAAGTTGCCTAAAGCAGTTTTGGAGTCGGAGTTAAAGAAAGCTATTCAGGAAGTGTTTCCAGGAGCAGTCTTACCAGAGCCTCTGGATATGGTGTTCAAATATTGGGAGAAAGTAGCTTGGTGAGCAAACTTTTCTGCGAGAAGCTCTTCGGTATAGGAAATAATCACATATCATTACGGCAACCATATTAATGAAAAGTTAAGCCTAAATTTTTCAAGTTCGTTGTTTGTAATCCGTGCTAATCTTCTCCATCCTTAACCATCCTTGTTCGTTTATGGTTTATTACTATCTATTTAGAGTTTTTCTATCTTAGTGAACAACTATTTCCAGGTTTCTTTCAGTTTAAAAGTAATTTTGTCCATGGCCAAAATAACTCAAATTGCCGGCCCTAGAAAAAAGTCCTCCCTTAGGAATTGAGTTCCGTTCTTGAGCAATTCATTTCTCTTCTTTCTATTGTATGGGAAAGCCAACGTGGCTGCCATGAAAACGCCCCGATTTATATAATTGTTCGCCCGAAAATATTAGTCCTCGATTATTTCGAGAGCTAAGGCCCTTTTGAAAAGGAATACTTGTTTCAATATCTACCTCATA